GTACATATCTTTATCTTCATTGACGGATGTTTAAATGTGTTTCTCGGTTTCTCGTCGTTGATAAACAGGAAGTGTTGACGTGACGGATGAACAATGAACCTGGACGTTTTCCTGGAAACTGAAACTAAAGATGGACGACGACGTCTCCGACAACAGACGCGTTGAGTTTTCACTTCAGGAGGGCGGAGCTAAGATCCCGGACGAGTCAGGTGGTTTCACACCTGGTGACGGAGCGAACTCCAGAGTCTCACATTTGGTTTCACTAAAACATAGAAGGGAAGAAAGTTCCCATCATGCATCTGAGTCCAGTGGAAGTTAAAGAGTCGCATGAAAGCGTCTCATGAAACAGGCTTTAGAATCTGCAGTGAGTTTATATTGAATTATGTTTGTGTGTAAACATCAGTGGAAACGTCTCCAGCAGATGAGTCTTTCTCATTTTCTCATTTTCTAAATTTTCCTGCAGCAGCAGAAAAAGAAACCAGACGCCTGACGGAGCTTCGCCCCGAAGGTGGATTCACATTCGTCTGTAAATCTACAAAACCACAACAGCCACCGACATCAAAGCCGCTCTGAAGCCTGTGTGTCGCAGGGACTTTTCCAGCAGGACGGACACGAGGACGCTTCTCCCGCAGAACAAAGACGCCTGCAGTCGTCTGGATATCGAGCGTCCGTCTCTTCTCAGCAGGAAAAATAAGGTTGAGCAGTTTGTCCTTTAATCACTTTCCCTCAAGGATCAGTGAAGTTTGAACTCAGCTCTTATCTTCATCTCTTCTGTTGGACGGGACAGAGGAGATGAAGACAGATGGAGACAAATGTCCAGGAAGTCTCCAGTAACAGTGAATTTAAATTTACTGCAGGAAAATCTGAGTTTTTTCTACAAAACATTTCTGTTTTTCTCAAAGAATCTGTCGTCAGGTGAGTTTGGACTCAAATGTTCCTGAACAGGAGGACAGGAGGACAGGAGGACAGTAGGACAGTAGGACAGGAGGACAGTAGAAGAGAAGAACTGTAGACCAGTAGGACAGGAGGACAGTAGGACAG